CGGCCTCGTTCGTGAATGAGTCTATGATTTCAAGGCACACGTTGGAGAGCACCTTCTCATCGAATAGGCGAGCGTGACTAAGCAGCATCATCGCATTATCCGGACTCAGATGCTCGATCAGAAAGCCGACACAGGAGACTTCTAGTCCTCGCACAGCATACTTCTTTGCTAAACGAGCAGTGCGTGTACAGCGGAAAAGTCAACGGTCTTCTATTAAAACCTGAAGACTTATCTGGAAACATTCACCAACACAGTCACAGAATTCAATACTGGTGATATCACTCCTCGGATAGTGGATTATCATGTACTTAAACAGTCTCATGTAAGCAGATGGTTGGATACTGCTTTCCCGAATCAACAAGAGAGCTAACTAGAAATTAAAAATTCCATCAAATCCATCCATATAGTGATCTATCCGTAAAACTTGCTACTCTTACAAAATGTTTAATGCTGTTTTAGTATCAGTATACGGATAGTATATCCACTATGAGATCCGGTTTTTAATTCTGGACTCGTTGTTGTAATTGTGAGGAATTAGCAATTCCATCGTTGAAAGCACCAAACCAGTTAAATTTAAAGCTGCCAACATTTTAGCACAAAGTTATACTGTTGCCTTTAATCACAATTCAGAAAATTACATCCATAAGGTGCCTCCATATACTCGATTCAACGAGATTTTCTAAACATACTTTCAAGCAAATGCAACTGAACATTCACTATTACTTTCCACCGTGGTCATCAAAACATCTTGAAAACGTTATAAAAATATGGCCGACAAAGGCGCTTCCTAAGGCTTTGAATTCTAGTACGAATGCTAAACACATGATACGAGCCTCAGTGGCATATATCGACCACTCACGACGTGTTAGAAAAGACGAGTTATGATGAGTTAAGTTGTTATTAAACCACTAACCTTAAGACTGTCGTTACCTAATTACTTTAACCATGATGAGACTACAGGTAAGAGTCTGTAGGTTTGTTTAAACTACGGACACCGTTGTTGCGCCGGCAATCGTCAGATTTAGAAAGACCCACTCGAGGCATACCTGCACTTGCTTAAAACTGACTGATTCATAGGTGCAATAAAACATGCCTAAAATTACAATTTTACTTGCTGTCCAATGGATTTAGTATCACCTTCATGTCATAGAGTTCAGCTGACGACGAAACACACAGATCTGAGTCTCACGAAACCAGTGGACTCAAAAATGAAATTCTTTGATCAAAGGTTATTCCACTCATCAACAGAAAATTAATCACAGTCAAAGCACAAAATACAGAGAGAAAAGTAAAACTCACCTGCATAAAGAAGCGCCGTTGCGTTTTCGGAATCGACCTCCGCAATGTCACTGTACAGGAATTTCAATAATGCCACGAACACCGAGTACTCAATGTCCGGAATTTCAATATCCTCCTTCTCACTTGGATCCATAGCGCCTGTAAACATGGCGTTGAACACCGACGAACCAACGCTCAGAACGAATTTGTGAGCCGGAACGCGCTAAATCAAATTTACCCGTACACCAAATAATCAAATCGAAGAACATACGAATGACAACAAGAATGAGAGATGAGGAGTAAAACCTGCCCTTAACACCGTTTTCTAACTCCAGTGCAACCTGCTTCGGTTTCTCGTAAGAATCCTGGTCCGTTTTGACTTCTGAGGATTGCTACTACGACAAGTTACAAGGCATTGCAAAGATTTTGGGTATTTAAGATTAAATTCAAAATCATTTTCTAAATATTAATTTTATAAAAAGGCATTTCTAGTAAACTTATTTTAACGTGCTTTTAAAATAGTAAAAATCAAAAAATCATTTTTCTGACGCATTCACCCATTTTGGAGATTGGTACTTTCTTACTCTGTCAAAAGTAAAACTGAACCCAGGCCAGGAATAGTGCACTCTGTAACAGGAAAGCTAATTCTGCATACGGTCGTTGCTGCCGCTAACTTTTATAACGCGAGTCACAGCGTAAGCCCATCGTGTTTTACTGAGTGAATAACAGATGGCAAGAGTAGTCGACAAACGCATAAACGAGATGCATGATTTAAAAACATTAATTCTGAATACATGTGAATTAGAACAATATATACGTTGATGTTACGAGTAATGGAATATTTTATTTTGAATAATTCAGGTACTTTTGAATGAAACTGCTCATCGTGTCTAAAATGCAAAAAAAAGATTAAGAGGCAAGTTTGGTCACCGTTGGAATGTCGCTCGTCCATACGCTTTTACGAAGGAGCCGTGCAGGCGCCCTTTTTGTCATGAAGTAAATCGTGGGGGCGCTTATTTTCATTTTCAGTCCATCAACCAGGTGTGCCTTATCTTAAAGACAATCGAATGCATCGTGGCAAGCGTAGTGTAGAGTCTCCTGCTTAATTTTCACACAGTGGAAATTATTTATCAACTTCAGAAAGGATAAAGGCGAGTGAGCTGACTGATAATTTACCAGAACCTCTCGCC